ATGTAATGACACTCTCATAGGAAATAATATCCTCCTGTTAAAATTTGACTTTTTAAATCGTGAATTTAAAGAACTGGTGCATGAGCATTCAGCTTTATTTATTTATTTATTTATTTACTTACTTTTTTAGGGCTATTTATTCATTTACTTATTTATGTTTAGGGGACCAAGACCATGTACCTGGGCCGGATTCATGTGAGATCCTCCCTTCCAGTTACTTATGGGCTCCTCTAGTGGGCCTTCATCGATGGGCTGCATGTTATCGCAAGTGGAAAATGTGTTCAGTACAAAAAATAGTATGCGCTACATACGGTACGGGGCACTAAAGGATCGGACCATGCAACGACTTCCAAAACATTGTGTTTATCATTCTAACAACACATTTATTCAACCAACAGACAAAATATACTACTGATTGTACATTGAAAACAGCAGCAGCAGCAGCAACTAGGGCTGGGGGTGCAACAGAAGCAGTAAGCAGGCTAGAAGAGTAAAGACGCAACTCTCTCTTCCAAACCAAATATCAGCCATCATTACAAAAGGGCTACCAAAAAAGAACAAGTGTATGCGTCAAACTAAATAAAGATCCTACTACACCAAAAGTGTACGCATCTAACTAACTGGCTCAGTTAGACGTTACTATTTATTAAGCTGTGGAGATTGGCTGACGGCTTAAACTAGATTGGTGCCTGGCGGGGGAAACTCTAGCCAGCAGGTCGAACTCTGATAGTTGCGACCCTCTCTCCTACTTTGGGTTGCAGAGCGTGGCGGCACATATGAGGGTATGGTGCATGGATAGACGCATGGTATGTTGTGTACACACAATTTTGCCTGATGAACGGAACAGTGCTGACATCATGATCCTTGTCGTCGGTTATCTCCTGGTTAATCGGATAATTCAGTCCAAGAAATAGAGAGCATGTACCAAGGCTACCTACCAGCCTCCAGTCAAAATTACAGAAGGCCAGGAGGAGCTGGGATCCTGCTCAAAGACCTTCCAGTGACTGTGATTGTATTCCGCGAAACAACACGTCTGGTACGTGCGAACGATCATCAATCGTTCGCCATCGTCTGATCAAGCCAGGAACCACCTGCAACTACCATGCCGCTTTTCTTTGAAAGGTTTTGGGATAAGGAAGGGTAGGGACACCAGGCGGCCTACAACATCATATCAAGTTGGAGTTAAATAAAAAAGGGTTTGTACTGTAGTCAATCTTAAGAACATCATGTTCTGAGCATGAATATTTTTTCAGTAAATGTTGGCAGTAATATAAGCAAGCCATCATGATATCATAGGAAAGTAACATACTGTTGTAACAGCCGTTTGTAGCGATGACTGGAGTAGGCTAGCAATACGTCTAGCCATAGAAGGAGTTCACAACGTAAATGAATCCTTTGTGTTCAATTGCATCAGAGAAGCATGGAGGATGTATGATCGTGCAATGGACGTGCAGATTTATCCACTTACCACAGTGACCTGTCAGATAGGCCAGACCACGGTTGAAGAACGCAATTAGCCCGGAGTCTTTATAATTCACTGATCTTGTGGGCACTTGGAATATTACAACCTTGAGCAAATCAAACGTGTTATCATTTTGGCTACCGTAAGATTTCGAGTATTCTAGGCCGCGGTGCCAAAGCAGTGCAGTATTAATCAAAGGAAGGGGGATCAATCACTGGGTGTAGACCTCCACGAGCATCTAGTTGTCGTGACCGTCGACGAGCACCATCCAAGACGTGTTCATGCCGACCCAGTACATATCGTTAATGTAGTTGAGGGTGACGGGGATCGGATTGCAGTCGAGGTGGTTGATGCTCGCCACCCTACGATCGGTATGCTGTGTGACATGCCGTTTCTGAAGATTAGGTGGCATCAGAAGCAAGGAGATGGCTTAAAAAGCTCCGGCTTGAGGGCTTTGAGTAAACGGTACAGCCCCCGAAGAGCAGGCGGTGAGCGGCATGGTACTGAGATTGTCCACACGTGAAACAATGAGCTTGATTACCTCTGTGGGGAGCAAATTCCAGCCACTCTTTCGGCGAACGCTGCTCAGTTCTGCCACTGTTTGTGCTTGAGTTTCGGAAGAGGGGGAGGCGCGTAGCAGGGATGGAAGATTGGACGATTATGTGGGGACGAGGATGGAGAAGCGAATATATGCTGCAGGAAGTGGACAGGTGATGATGACAATGTAGCAGCAACACGCTGCTTGACTTACAAGACGCATCCCAGCAACGTAGGGTCATATCAATGCCAGACAAGTTGGTTGAGTGATCATAGTACCTACAACTATGCCCTAGTTTTTTGCATATAGTGGAGTAGGAATCTCTCTACTACTAGCACCGGAGGAGTAGTATATTGTAAAATAGTTACAAACTTCAATGCCCAAGCATGGAGCGACTACGAACCGCCATCGGTGCTAACTCCAATCCCCAGCAAACATTCACTGGGAGACATGGCAGTTGCAAACGCCCGTGACGTAGTTATAGTATGTGTGTAAGGGTGGCGGTTTTGTCAAATACTATGGCTTAAAAACAGACCACCGTCGGATGGAAATCTGACGATTATGTGGGATTCGCCAGGATTGGACTCGTGGCGAACAATCACCAGATATCATTACTAAAAAGTATTAAAACAGCGGGGCTATAACTTGCACCGGCTGACAACTAACGCCCGCGATGCAGTTACAGTACTAACATAGTTGTAAAATGGTCAAAGAACGTGTCTACGTGGTGTTTGGAATTATATGCGAACTAGCAAGATGCCCGTGCATTGCACGGAAGATCCAGATGCATTTTTTTACAAAACACCTTTTGTGATTGAGACATGCAAGAGTAATCCCATGTGTAAAAACTAATGATATCTCGAGAATTTCATCGGAAAAATGGTATCTCGAGAATTTCATTAAAAAATGATATCTCGAGAAAGATGAGAGATAAGGTGAGGAGGAGTGGGCCGTGGTGATGACTGGTGGTTGGACTGGGCAAAGGCATGGGGATGGATGGCGCTGATACGTCTCCAACGTATCTATAATTTTTGATTGTTCCATGCTATTATATTATCCATATTGGATGTTTTATAAGCACTAGCAAAAGGGCCCGTGCGTTGCACCGGGAAAAAATTTAGTGACTACAAGACCTCACAAATCCAGGTCCTCTGTTTTGAGACGACATCACGCCTGTGTCACCACTTAACCTTTTTTTCCACCTTGTTGTCGATGGTCAGGTTCTCCTCTGATCACAATGCGTTCGAACGTTAGCAATCTTCAGGCAGTGATTTCGGCTAGGCACACCTGTCAATGAGCCCCACCTACGCAAGATAATAATTAAAATTTGAAAAAATTTGGTCAATATATGTATCATAGTGAGAAGGAATTTGAGTGAAGTGGGATCTCAACTTGGAAACTGGGTCGTTGCCTTAGCTATGTCCATCTCTCTGAATCGAACATTATTTGTGAAATATCCAAAGCAAACTTAAAATACCAGTGCATTAGCAACTGCAAGAGTTAAAAATTATCATTGATATATCAACATTATCTATATTCTCTATTCCCTATAAGAAGTAGTGGCGCACACACACAAAAAATTGCTTCGTGATAAATTGTAGCTAGTAATTTCAGTGTGTATTAGTAATCAGCCAACGTGATAGTAATCTGCCAACGTGGTCTGCACTTGGAATTCTTGATTATTAATCTGCCGCTATTCTCCCTTTCTTCTGAATCTTGCGGCAGTGTGTGTCCTTCTCCAGCGCATGGAACCGGTAGTCTACACTTTGTTTGAATCTCATATGATTAGTAATCTGCTAGGGTAGCCACTGACCAACACAGATGAGGCGGGAGCACCAATCGATAATCGTGAACCGATAGCCTGAGCATCGATAATACAGATGATTAGGACCCCACCCCACCCTGCATCTCCCTCTACACTTAACCTCAATCACGACACGGCAGCAGCCTGCCTCTGCTTGCCACCGCTGCTGCTGCTTGCCATTGCTCCTTGACGCGTATTTTCCAATTGAAGAGCAGAAAGTATTCAACTGGAGAGCATAAAATATCTTGACTGATGCTTTATTGAATCTTTGCTACGCTCTGAACCTTCCAACAAGTCATGGTTACAATGGAGGAACCCCCATCGCATTGAGCGAGATGGAATTCGAAGAAACAATTGAGTGCTGCCAACAATTGAAGTGCTCACTATCCAGATGCGTGATCAGTAACAAAACTTGTCTTGCTGAATGATACTCCAAAATGCAACAAGAAGACCATCCTGAATGCACAAACTGGAGGACATTTCCATTGCAACATCTCTAGTTCTGCTCCTCTATGTACAAAACAGCACGCAAATTGCGCTCTACGTACAAATCCTCTTTATCTCTCAACTGATATATAGAAAACATCAAACAGAAGCAAACATATGTGGCTCTCCAACATCCAATTGTCATATTCCCCACTACGTGATGCAGTCATCACCTGGCGATCGCATCCGCGTGGCTATCCTTGGATCTCCAGCTTGTGCTCCGGCTCCTCGGACCATGGGTGAAAACCGAGCTCCACTCCGACCTCGAGGATGGGTGTGTCCAAAGCAAGCAAACATGTTGTCGAACACGCATCTGCTAACTCCCCTGTGTGACGAGAGGCTCCCTCTCAATGACCATGAGATCTTCCTCGGTGCACCACCATTGTTGAAACCCCCATCCACCTCAGTGTAGACAACTGGCAGGGGAGCTCCCTCTCGTCGGCCCTCCTGCCAACAGCGAACCTCCTAACAGCAAAGCCTCCACCAGGGAGCCACCAAATCGTCAATCCAACCGTCGTATCCTCCTCACTGCCAGTCTCAGCCCCGGTGTTGCTGCCCTGGTCATCGGCGACACTGAGGTCACTCACCGGAGCAGGCCACACCACATCTGTGGGCAGCTTGTGCCGGCACACAGGACACGAGTTACGCAGCGCGAGCCACGGCAGGATGCAGTCCTGGTGGTACATGTGGCTGCAGGGCATCTCCCTGGCCTAGTCGCCCGGCTCGAAGGCCTCCTTGCAGACGACGCAGTGGGAGTCGACGCCGACGTGGATAGGGTAGGCTGAGACGATGACGGTGGGCATGGGCTTGACGGCGGCCTTGCAGTCCGGTGGGTTGTCGCAGGGGCCGACGGCGCCGAAGCCGCCGGCCTCGATCTGGGCGAGCTGCTTGAGGAACCGCTCGAATCCGGACCCCATAAGGAAGTCAAACATGGTCTCGGGCAGCGGGCAAAGGCCGGATCCGGCGCCGTCGTCGTAGAAGAGCTCGAAGCTGCTGGTGGCGCCGGGGGCCTCGTCGCAGGGAGGGGCGGCGGAGAGCCGGAGCACGATGACTGGGTTGTACGGCGACCCCGAGCGGTCACCTGAGGCGCCACACCGGCTGCGACGGGGCAGGACCTTGTTGACCCCGTGGGGGCGGAGGGCGCGACGGCCCGGCACGGTGTCGGCGCGTCCATCTGCTCCAGGAAGCCGCCGTCACAGCCGGGGCGGCAGGGAAGCTCGGTTCCTGGGAGCTGTCGGTGGATAAGATAAAGAAAGGAGCGCCAGTGTAATTCTTACAAACTGGGGGGCTTAATTTGCAAAATCGAATCGTTTTCCCGGTCCACTTAAATACGGACTGCGGGTTTAATTTTCAAAAACCACAGGCACTGTTTTGCAAAATTTCTGCAACGGTGAACCCAACAGATTCAATCCGTGCTTTATTATTAGGTATAGATTTATAGTATATGATTTTTGGGACTAACCTATTAACCTAGAGCTCAAAGCCAGTTTCTGTTTTTTTCCTTGTTTTTGAGTATCGCAGAAAAGGAATATTAAACGGAGTCCAATTGACCTGAAAATCTACGAAGATTATTTTTGGACCATAAGAAGCCCAGGGAGCATTGAAGATGGACCAGAAGAGTCCCGAGGCCACCAACAGGGTGGAGGGCGCGCCCTACCTCCCTTGGGGATCCCCCTAC